TGGAGAAGATCCATCTCCAGGTATAAATACTTCGGACAAAATCCATGTCCAGGGAAGATCCATCCCTCAATATCATCAACCGCGCTCACTAGGGGTGTGTTACATACTTCGGAGGGGCTCCTACAGCCCAAGTGCTATCATAATCATCAACATAACCACTGCAACGTGCAGCCCGATCCCATAACGGTCACTCACAATCAGGCTCTCGGCCTCACTCAGTCATCACTCTCCAATCTCATACACACGGGCTCACAATGTTATGATACTAGCCCGAACAATAATATGATGTGCCAAATAACAATAATCGAGACTGAGGCATGATATAAAATGCATGAACATGACTGAGTACGGAATATCAATAAAGCAAATGATATGACAGCAAAAAACGACCTCTCGGGTCTCAACAGTATCAGCGTGAAGCCTTAACATGATAATTAGCATGATTTATAACTCATCAACTTAATCATGTAATCATAACAATATAAAATGCATGAACAAGACTGAGTACGGAATATCAATAAAGCAAATGATATGACAGCAAAAAACGACCTCTCGGGTCTCAACAGTATCGGCGTGAAGCCTTAACATGATAATTAGCATGATTTATAACTTATCAACTTAATCATGTAATCACAACAAAAATATTAGCGAGAAAGAGTCACTAAGTGGTTCTATGGAATGATCCAGGCAATGATTCTCACGGTGCACGCCCACACGCCCGTCACTTGGCATTTGCGTCACCTCAATAGTAATCATAGAACACATAGTTCGGGGTTTCGAACCCTCAGAACCAAGTTTGGGAGCGTTACTTACCTTAAATCAAGCCAAACCCTAGCCCGCGACGCCCTTGCCTCTTGATTCGGCCTCCAAATGCCCCGAATCTAACCAAAATCAGTATATATCATTAATACACGCTAAAGGAATAAAGCCAAAGCAAAAATAATCAAATTAAGTCAAAAATTCCGAAATTGGCCAAACCCGACCCCCGAGCCCACGTCTCGGAATTTGATAAAAATCACATCACAAAAATTCTTATCTTCCCACGAGTCTATACATACCAAGAACACCAAAATCGGACCTCAAATGGCCCCTCAAATCACCACTCAAAGCTCTCTAAAATTCAAGCCCTAACCTTCAATTTTAACCCTTAAATTCCACAAATTTCATGTCTAATAAGTTAGAAATCACCATAGAATTGAGTATTGAGTTAAAAAATATTACCTCCAAGTGCTACCCCTTGAATCTCTCTTCAATTCCTCTCAAAAAGCTCCAAGTCCGAACTCAAATGGTGGAAAAATGACCAAATTTCGCGAAGGCAAGAATTTATATGTTCTGCCCAAGGGTTGTGCATCTGCGATCCAATACCGCACCTGCGACAAGAAGTCCGCATCTGCGGAATTTCACTTAAAGTCCCCATCCGCACCTGCGATCAAGCCACTGCATCTGCGGGCTCACAGGTGCGCCTAACCTTCCCCATCTGTGATGCATCCTCAGCCGACCGGCCTTCGCTCCTGCGATCAAAATGCCGCTTCTGCGGTTCGCACCTGCGGTCCCTTATCCGCAGATGTGGTAATGACGGATACACATCAGCTTCAGCTGCAAACTCTATTTTCCAACTCTCCGATAACCCCCCGAAATCACCCCAAGGCCTTCGGGACCTCAACCAAACCTACCAACAAGTCACGTATCATCATTCAAACTTATTCCAATCTTAGGAACACTCAAAACAACATCCAAACATCAAATCACCCTCGGATTCAAGTCTAAGGATTTCAAAACTTCCGAATTTCGCCACCGATCCAAAAACCTACCAAACCTCGTCCAAATGACCTGAAATTTTGCACACACATCACAAATAACACCATAGACCTACTCCAATTTCCGAAAATCCATTCCGACACCGATATCAAAATTTTCACTGCCAACCGAAAAACGCCAGAACTCCAATTTCACTAATTCAAGCTTAAATCTACCACAAACCTCCAAAATACATTCCGATCACCTCCTACATCCCAAATCACCTCACGAAGCTATCTGAACCATAAAAACCAAGTTCCGAAATCATTTACTCACAAGTCAACTTCCAGTTAGCTTTTCCAACTGAAGCTTCCCAAAAGCGGCTAAGTGTCCCATCTCTATACAAAACCACTTTGAACCCAAACCAACTAACGCGATACGATAAAATATAATTGAACAACACATAAAGAAGCAGAAATAGGGGAAACTGAGCGGTAACTCATGAAACGACCGGCCCGGTCGTTACAAAACTGTTGTCCAGACACAAACAGATGTTGAAACAACTCCTGTAGTTTTCACACGGAGAAGGCGCCCTGCAGCTGTAAAACAGTCGCTGTATAGGAATGACTGGCGATCTGGTGTTAGTGCAGTTGGGGGATCCTCGAAGGTTATCAAAGGAAGATTTCCATTTATAAATTACATTTCGGTGGCTGCTAATTATAAGCTTACGGCTACATTTTCAAACTTTTTTGAAGCAAACATGCAATTGGGAGAGTGCGTATTCGTTTCCATGTACTTTTGTTTTCATGTTTTCTTAATTTTTGTTGATATATTTCTTATCTATATCTTCTTTTATATGAAATAGGGAAGTGTAATTACCTGGTGATCAAAATCTGGACCCTTGTTTTGACTTTGAAGTTGAACAAATTGATGGTAAGATGTTTTTCCATACATTAAACTATTCTGGCAGGCCGCTGTCTAGTTCGGTATGCGTACTGCTTTTTATTTTTGTTATTGTAGTAGTTCATGCATATTGTTAATGTTAGTCATGTTTTCTTCCTCTCTTTATTGCAGCACTTGAATATTATATTCTACTATCTTTGGAAGAAGGCAAAATATGGAATTAATATGCCAATCAAAGTCACAACTACAGATACTCTTTTTAATAATATCATTCAAAGGTTTTTTTTTAGAATTTGTAAAAGGTGGGAAACAAGATCACTTGATTGATAGATCAGACGACATCATGGAGTACATGAAAGGATTTAGGATGCATTGCAACACTCCATGACACCAGGTTGATCATGTCCTCTTTCCAATTAATTTGGCAGAAAAGTGGCATTGGATATTATGGTGTGTATCATTCCACAAGAGATGTTTTTATGTATATGACTCGCTACGTAGTCGAAAGCACAAACAACTATTCAAAAAGTCGCAGAGACATATAATGTGTTGATCCCTCTGTTTCTAGTTAGCATTGAATTTTATAACCATAGAAGTGCCATTGTAGTACAAAATGGTCTGCACATGGGAAAGGACTTGATTGATCCTTTTGAGATTGAACTGATTACAAATCTGCTAACAGAGCAAAATTCGTAAGAATAGTTACTTTTTTTTTACTTTGTTTTCCTCATTCATATTAACATTTTTCACTACTAATCGATTTTTATATTCTATTCATTTGTTTTATTTCAGAGATTGTGGAGTATATGTTTCATGCTTGCTGAGTGCATTATTGAAGGTCTTCCAATCCCTGTTGCCAATTTTGATGTGGATGGTCTACGAGCTAGATTTGGTATATTGTTTTGGCACTATGGGAGGAACAAGCAGTTGCATGGCGAATCAAGTGAATCTGAGGCTCCAGTAGCAACAAAAAAGACTTGTGGAAAGAAGTGCACGAAGTAGTATAGGTCTTTTTTTTTTTTTTACTTTTAGTTAATCTTAGCATGAAAACTTTGCAAGATTTTAATAGTTTTTGGTGAAGTATGGTATTTTGCATTATTAGATTGTAAAAAAGCTAGCTTTTAAAAGTGTATTCTAGGAATACAATTGTAATAGTACAATACGTTGCTATAACTGTTTTAATGTTGGAATCTATCTTCAGTTTGTTTTATTAGGCTTTTCTTAGGCTTCTTTAATAAAGTTGTTGGTTTATTAGGAGTGCCTTTCGGAGACAGAATTTTCTTAGCACTTGAAGTCAAGTCATTAGTGCAAAACATGGTTGTTACAGCAGCACTGTTAGTTCCTACTCCTACTGCAATTTGTAGTAGGAGGAGCATTGTTAGTTCGATGTAATACACCAGCAGAAGTTGTATTTTGGAGGTGTATTTTTAAGGAAGTTACGGCGTTCAAAAAGAGGAACTATGTTGCTATTTGGTTGAAGAACAGGGCGAGCATTTATTTGAATGAGAAGAAATATTTTTAAAAAGTGAACTGGTTTTGAATTTGTATTGAGAGTAGTTTTTAATTATAGTTGAATCTAAAAAAATTTGTGCAGATTTTGCATTGCTGCACCAGTTGTATTCTGCAAAAATTTTGGTTCAGGTATATTAGTGTAATAGAATTATATAACAATCAGGTATACAGATATACTATTTGGGTATCACGTTGTATTTGAGTACCTTTTTTCTTTCAGCAACTAAATGTAAATACTCACATGAGTTGCAAAGTGTGCCAATTTTGTTGAGGAAGTATTTACAAATATTACATTTTTTGGTGCACCAGTTGTATTTCTGCACATTTTGGTTTAGCCATATTAGTGCAATACAACTATATACCAATAAGGTATACAAATTTACTTTGGGTATCACATTGTATTTAAGTACCCGATGATGTACAATAACTGCATGTAAATGACTTCCAATTTGTTATACTTCAATACTGACATGAGCTGCAAAGCGTGCCCATTTTGTTAATGATGTATGTACAAATGTTGCATTTGGGGCACCACTTCTATTTCTGCACATATTTTGATACCAATAAGGTATACAAATATACCACTTAGGTATCACATTATATTTTAGCACCTTTTTTCCTGCAACAACTAGATATAAATGCATCCCACTTTTATATACTAAAATAGAAAATAAAAAGATTCTTATTGAAAACACAAGTAGCCATATAAATTTTTTGCAAAAAGTAATTTGGCAAAGAATCACCATACCAAATATATGTCTAGTGCAAGGCATGCATTTTATTTCTTTGCAATTCAAATGATATGGTTCTATGATATATGAGTTCTATAAGAACATTGAAACATTATATCAATCTCTCTTTGGAATATTTTGGCACGTTCTCCGGTTGTGTCCTTTTTTCCCGCATAGTGCACATGTAACTGTATTTCCTTCCCAGCCTCCTATGCCTCTCTTTTTTTTAGGTCTTCCTGGTTTGAATTTTCCTTTTGGTGGCAGTACCACCTGCAAAAAAACATGTTCTGAAATTTGCCACGTTGCTTCATCAGGCAAAGGATTTACTAGTATCTCATATGTTTTCAGCAAGTAGTATATGATGTAGTAATCTGAGCAATACTTGTATGAATACATATGAAATTTTGGTATAACTGCCACTGCATGTAGACATGGAATATCGTCTAGCTGTAACATTAACAAATGCAGTTTTTGTCATGTAGGCGCACCACATTCATGTTTGGCCATCAATTACTAAATGTAAGAATTGAGTTGATGGCAACACCTAATATAATTTTAATTAAGAAAAGTCATTAGGTGTATGAAGTAATAGTATTTTTCTAATAACAATATTCAGTTGTTTAGTGAAATCTCTAAAGTGCAAAAGTAAAACTACAATACATGCTGTGTTTTTATGATTATGAAAATGCATACCATCATTATCTGTGATAAGATAGTATTATCTGCCAATATGTTTTCATACTTTACACCGGTCTTCATAAATGATTTCACGACAATTTTCCAATTGGTGTAATTCCATTTCTGAATCAATATTGTCATAAAGTCAAGCAAATTCACAACTTGGAGGTCTCTTGCATGTTTGTTTGATGCATTTACTGATTTTGCAATATTTGATGTCATGGTCATGGTTCTATTTGCCTTGAAATGTGCTCGGGACCATTTATCATATCCAATATCCATCAGGTATGTTTTCACTCTACTATCAATAGCTTCTAACTCTGCCATATGCCTGTTGAATTCTTCAACAATGTATGCTCTTGCCAACGCAAAGTATACTTCTTTGATTTGTTTTTGTCTCTTCCTAAAGTTCATATGATGATCCGTCCAGTTGTCTCATGAGTTACCGTTTTGTTTTCCCCATTTCTGTTTCTTAATGCTTTGTCTATCGATTCTGTAAGTGATCGGGTTGGTTGGCTCAGGTTCGGAGAGGATTTGATAAGGTTTGGGACACTTAGTCTCTTCTGAGGAAGCTTAAGTTGGAAAATCAAATAGATGTTGACTTATGTGTTAGAGGGCTCGGATGTGAGTTACGATGATTTGGATAGCTTCGGGAGGTGATTTGGTACTTAGGAGCGTGATCAGAATGTATTTTGGAGGTCCAGAGTAGATTTATGCTTGAATTGGCGAAGTTGGTATTTTGGCGATTTCCGGTTGATAGGTGAATTTTGATATAGGGGTCGGAATGGAATTTCGAGAGTTGCAATAGTTCCGTTGTGTCATTTGGGATGTGTGCGCAAAATTTCAGATTATTCGGATGTGGTTTGGTTGGTTTTTTTTATCAAAAGCGTAATTTAGAAGATTTATGAATTCTTAGGCTTGAATCTGATGCGAATTTGGTGTTTTGACGTTGTTTTGAGCGTTCCGAAGGTCGGAACAAGTTTGAATGAGGTTATGGAATATGTTGGCATGTTTGATTGAGGTCCCGGGGGCTTCAGGTGAGTTTCGGGTGGTCAATCGGACCATTTCATGATGTTTGGAATTGCAGAAAAATTGTAGATCAGTGTTGCAGAGAAATGACCTTCGCGTTCGCGAAGGGTCAATTGATGAAGGCTAGGATTTAAGCCTTCGCATTCGCGAGGAAGGCTCCAGGTTCGCGAAGGGCTGGGTGTTTGATCATCGGGTTCGCATGAAGGGGACCGCGTTCGCGTAGAGGAAAGTGGTCAGCTGGGCTTGAGGTATTTTATTCATCGCGTTCGCGAGAGGGGTAATGCGATCGTGAAAAGTGGTCTGAGGAAAGCATCGCGTTCGCGATGGGAAGGTCGCGATCGCGAAGAGTAATTTTTGGTCAACGTTGATTTGTGCTTCGCGAACGCGAGGCGTTGACCGCGTTCGCGAAGAAGGATTTCACGCCTGGGCAGAATATATAAATAGTCGTCTTGTCCGCGATTTTGGGATTTATTTTCACCATTGTTGAGCGTTTTTGGAGCTTTTTGAAGATGATTGAAGAGGGATTTAAGGGTAATCACTTGGCGGTAAGATTCATGGACTTATACTCGATTCTAATGTGAAATCTACCTAATTAATCATGAAAATTAAGCCTAAAATTGAAGAACTAGGGCTTGAAATTGGAGACTTAGAATTTGGGATTTGAGGGGTCATTTGTGGTTGGATTTTGATGCTTTTATTATGCATGAACTCGGGGAGTGATAAGGAATCCATTGATGTGAATTTTATCAGAATCCGAGACGTGGGTCAGAGGGTCAGGTTTTGGTAATTTCGGTATTTGTGTTGTAAATTGAATATTTTTCGCTTGGGCTTCCTTCCCTTAGCATATTTTTGTCGCACCTCCTTTTTACCGAGCCCGCGTGGGTGCGTGGGGAGTTTTCTCCAATTGAAGGACAGTCGAAACGGGATTTATTTAATTATTTTAGAGTCGCCACCTGGGAATTTTAAGGCGTCCCAAGTCACCAATTTTAATCCCTGAATCGAGGAGAATATGACTCTGTTTATTATTCTGCGAACCAGAAATCCTGAATAAGGAATTCTGTTAATCCGGAAGAAGGTGTTAGGCATTTCCGAATTCCATGGTTCTAGCACGGTCGCTTAACTGTTTTTATTNATCAGTACCATCTTCACCTTATTTAACAACAAGAGTTAGTAATGTAGTTTTCTTGATATTTCTACATTACTCTTTACTTAGCTAACAACACCATAAAATTTGAATAATGACCCACTTTATGTCATGTTTCCTATCTTGACAATCTTAATTATACCTTCTATTAATGAAAATTTCAAAATTAACCCTATTACAACACTTATACAAATTTCAAGAAATGACATTTAACTTACAGTCTTCCTATCAACATATACCACTTATTTGATCCAGAAACAAAACTGAATTTTTAATTAAAGAGCTCAAATGAATAAAGATATTATTACAATTCAAGCTTCATTTATCTGTCATACTGAATCTCTTTCCAACATAGAATTTAAAAGGATATGTACCTGGAAATGAAGGTAGAAGAAGTAAGTTTCAGCAGTTACATCAGTAACAAAAACAGGCAGAAAATGCCAAATAACGCAGCTGATTTTGAGCACAATCAACGAGTCCCGTGAAACCAAACCAATAGTAACGGAGATAAAAAAAATTCAGATTTAAACCATACAGTATTAATAAATAAACACGGACAGATTCCAGAAAAATATGTTTCGGGTTTTTCTTTCCTTTTTCTACATCCGTTTCAGATTCACTGTGTGCGTGTGTGCGAATACTCTCTTTTGTTTTTTTTTTCTTCTTCCTCGGAATCTGATTTTTCTGTTGGATTTACTCTTTTATCTCACTCTAGGTGTATTTTTCTTAAACTCTCTTTCAAAATCTGTTCTCCAGTCTGTAAGCTCTCTCTCTCTGTCTAACTGACTCCTTTCAGTCTGTCCAGCTCCCTGTATTTATACAGGGCTGGTCCTATACAGTTTTGTGCTTACAAACTGAAAGGATTCTCAATTAAAGACAGTACATCACATTTATGCACAAGAGTTGAATTAAGATAGATGATTCTCAATTGA